TATTCTTTGTTCATTTATTACTTTTTTATTAATTTATATCGATAAAAAAAAAAAAAAAAAAAAAAAAATTTTTTTTTTTTTTTTTTTTTTTTTTGATAAGGACATCTTAATGGTATAACCATATGCTATTTGCTCTGTAAATTCCCCAACTAAAACTGAAGGACACCCGCGACTGACTAATACAACCATTCGCCCTTTATCGGAAACAAATCTAACACAATCACTTCAACTTGATGTAATTGCTCAAAATACAGAATTTTCCGCCTCATCACATGAACAGGCAAGGTGGCCGAGCGGTTAAGGCGGTAGGTTAAGGTCCTACTCTCAGCAATGGGGCGCAGGTTCGAATCCTGCCCTTGTCATAAATTTTTGTTGATGACTCCTGCTCCATTTCTTCGATGGAGCTGGAGCTTGAATTTTTTTTATTTGATAGAATGTGTGGGAAAAAGCCAAGGAGACAAAGGTGGGCTAGGGTTAGGGAACACCAGACCTACTTACCATTCAAGAACGCGAACACCAGCATGCATCTCATTCATATATCTCTACCGGTTTATTTCTCTACCTATCACTATATTGAATCTCTTCCACCTCAAATTTATTTTATGTGCTGGTCCTGCTTTGGTAAGTCAAGACGAGCAGTGCATGCATGTGGCCCGTGCACGCATCTTGTTTTTAAGGTTTGCAAAAATGACCATAAAAAGACGAAGGAAAAAAAAAAAGAAAAGAAACCATGTGGATGACCACTAGGCCCAACTCGGTAGTGACTAAGCCGCGCTATTTCAGAATCCCGCCAGGCATTCTAGGTCCATCCTCCATCTCGAGACCCAACGAGCCTAACCGACAAGCATCTCTCACCCAGGGGGGGCAATTTGCAGCTGAACTCTGAACTCTGACCTCTGACCTATGACAATCTCCGCAATCGGGGACCAATCCTTGTGGCTCCTTGTGGCCTCCGCTTTGGGCTGTATATATACATCCAGATGGAGTCCGATGGCGAGAGCTGGCTCCGTACTAAGTACAGTGTTAGGCGCATAGTTTGCCATGCTCTCATCTCTTAGTACCAAAGAGGATGGTGGGCGGGTGAATGTCCACATATCCACCCCTCCTCCACTCTCCCAAGCAACGTATGCAGGTAAAAGCCGGAGTAATTACGGAGTATAAAAATGAAGTCGCTTGTTAACTAACTACCTAGGTAACTATCTAGGTAGCTAACTAACCATACGTAAGTAAGCTAGCTGGTAACCCTCGCAGGTACATTCGCATTGCTGTACTCCGTATATACCACGTATATAAATGAAAAGTGTTATATTTCAGCAAAATCTTGCGAGCGGGCAGATAGGTGATACATCCCTGCCCTTATTGTTGGAAACGTATATTTTATTAACTTAGTATGCACAAAATTTGCGGTTCTTATTTTTGCATTTCTGCTTGGCGGCCGCAAGCCCGTTCGTCTGCTTTCTTGTGTACAACTCTCCATTCGGAGCACTCCATAAATATATTATTATAACTTAGCCAACCTCGCAGCCTTCTCCAGGGGGCGCCGGTTTCTCTCCATCTCTTTTTATCCTCCATTCCCTGCCTTCTCTTGTACCTTGTCGCCAAACCATCGCCCTTCATAGCCTTCTATATTTTTTTTTGTCTGGGGGGCTTACTCGCATTCTTTTTCCTACCCTATGTAAGTCAAATTTTTTTTATTATTTATTTTTATTTATTTTTTTCCGTTTTCCCGTCTTCCAGTGTTGAAGCACTCAATAAACTGTCATTGCAGCAAAGAGGGAGAGCCAACAAAGTCAAAATCGCAAGTAATAATTTAAAAAAAGAAAGAAAGGAAAAAAAGAAGTCCCAGTCCAAGAAAAAAAAACCCCCAAAATCCACTAAACTTTACCTACTAGAAGGTTTCCGTGTTCTCTCATAACTTTCTTTTTTTCTTCTTCCTTTTCCTCCCCTTCCCGTTCCCGTTCTTGTTCTTTTTGACCATCATCGTTACTCTGTGACCCTGACACTGTCATCGTTCAATATTTTCCATCCCCAGCAGACATCCCGAGTTGGCCTGGCTGCTATCTCGTCTGACGCCGTACAATATCCAGAAGAAGACCTTTTGACAGCTAGACCAGATTAATTGGGTCTTGCTGACTGTAGCAACGTGATCGCGCTTGTCCAAGAACCAACCAACCCCAAACCACCGACTTCGTCGCCCAACGAAGCATTGGAAGTAGTCTCTTTCTTCCTCCAGTGCCAAGCAGCTGCTTGAGGTGCGTTAGTAGCTGTTCCTTGTGTTCTCCTTTGTTACTACTGTTTTGGTGTTTTTATTTCCTGTTTTGTTCTGTTTTGTTGCGCCGTTTCACCGCCCGCTCCATCCCAGCCTCATATAACCCGCTCACATGCCATGTTGGTGTCTGTGCTCGCTCCAACCTCAACCACAACAACGAAAAGGACCAATTCCAACTTCCTCATCCTTTCTTCTTCCTCTGCTGAGCTCCTATCCGATGCTTTGCGCCAATGTCCCTTTCAAAGCTTTACCGTCCCATTCGGTTTTAATTACCCTCGTGCTAACTCCACCACTCGCTTCCAGACTGTTGCTCTAATTTCGCCTTTTATTTTTAATTCTTTTCACCCACCCGAATCGCGCGCCAACGTCCTCTTGCCCCCCTTCCCCCCCTCCCCCTTCTTGCTTGCAACTTCCGACACAGAACCTTAAGCCTCGAAGAAATATTTGCCGGGATGTATCGACCGATGCCTGGCGGTGCGGCTGCAAACCCGCGTTTGACGGAACTCTTCGACCAATTGCGCCAGGAGTTCGACAGCCAATCGCGCAGTACTGGCGAATTCGAGCATCAATGTAGGTTTGGTCTCTTCATTACTCATTGCACCCCATCGGTGCGATGCTGCTCTGCTATTCTCCTGCATGCAACAGTATAAAACCTGGATTCGGGCATTTTCTGACAACTCATCGCAGTAACTGGTCAAATCCAGGAGATGGAAATGATTCGACAGAAAGTTTTTCAGTTAGAACAAACACAGTTGAAAATGAAGCAAGAGTAGGTTTTCCACAGTCAACCAAACTTTACCCTTCTATCGCCAATTTAACATTATCTAATATCATGTTCAATACTACAGTTACGAAGCTGAAATCCGCACATTACGCGTAGAACTAGAATCTCGAGGTGTACATGTCGCCCCCTCACATGTTGGTGGCCCACCACCCCATGGAGGACCATCTCAGGTTCCTCCTCCGGCCTTGGGCCATGGGCCGAGCAATCTATTCGGTGGTATTATGGCAAATCAAGGGGGAGGAGCTCCTGCCCTGGCCCCCCCTCCTCCACAACAGGAACAACAAGCTGGTCAACATCCTATGCAACAGTCCGGCCCAAATCCCCAGGGCCCTCCACAACCCCCACAGGGAGCCTTTGGAGGTTATCAGCCAGGGGTGAATGGTACTGGTAAACATCCACAATTCCGTTTTTAAAAGCCGTTACGGCGGAAATATCTAACAAGAACACTTATTTTTTCGGCACTATTATAGGCTATGGACCGCCTCCCCCAGCTCCCACAGCCTCCCCAGGTGGAAAAGGGCGATCTAATCGGGCTGCTGCTGGTCCCGCGACTCCTCAGCAAAACCCTACAGGGGCATACCCAGAACCTCGAGCTTCCCCTCTCCCTCTCCCTACTCCAACCCAGCCAGGAGCTTATCGCGTTGGCAATACACTCGCGGATTTGGATCCTGATAAACTTCCACCCAGCCAGAAAAAGGAAGGCAGCGATTGGTATGCTGTGTTCAATCCTGAAGTCCAGCGTGTCTTAGACGTTGAATTGGTCCACAATCTTCCCCATGATAGCGTTGTATGCTGTGTTAGGTTCAGCTCTGATGGAAAATACGTTGCTACTGGCTGCAATCGGTCTGCTCAAATTTATGATGTTACCACCGGACAATTGGTTACTACCCTACAGGATGAGTCTGTGGATCGGGACGGTGATCTCTATATTCGCAGCGTGTGCTTTAGTCCCGATGGAAGATACCTTGCAACCGGCGCGGAAGATAAACAAATTAGGGTAAGGAGTTCATCCCAGCATCAATATCTTTTTCAGTTTAGAAAGTGTATGGTGAGAGCGGGGAAAGGCTAACACAACACTCTTCGGGATGATTATAGGTGTGGGATATTGCCAATCGTACCATCAAACATATTTTCTCCGGCCATGAGCAAGATATCTATTCTCTCGATTTTGCACGGAGCGGTCGTTATATAGCCTCTGGTAGTGGTGACAATACAGTTCGTTTATGGGATATAGTTGACGGGAAACAAGAAATGATACTCAGCATAGAGGATGGGGTCACAACCGTTGCTATTTCCCCTGATGGCCGGTACGTCGCTGCTGGATCTCTGGATAAGAGTGTCAGGGTTTGGGACACTACCACTGGTTATTTGGTGGAACGCCTTGAAAGCCCAGATGGCCACAGAGATAGCGTTTATTCCGTTGCTTTTGCACCAAATGGCCGTGACCTTGTTAGTGGTAGTCTTGATAAGACAATCAAAATGTGGGAATTGACTCCTCCGCGCGGCATGGTTCCTGGAACTGGACCCAAGGGTGGTAAATGTGTCCGGACGTTTGAGGGACACAAGGTACAGATCTTTCATATAGTCTTCATTCTGCTACTATGCGAATTTATTTGCTAATCGGTGTAAATTTGACATGTTTAGGACTTTGTTCTTAGCGTTTGCCTCACACCCGACGGCCACTGGGTGATGAGCGGCTCCAAAGATAGGGGTGTTCAATTCTGGGATCCCGTTACCGGAACCGCCCAGATGATGCTTCAAGGGCACAAAAATTCGGGTATGCTTATACCCCTATTTCGGCCAACCATCAAGGTCACTAACATATGAGCTTCGTAGTTATTTCCGTCGCACCAAGCCCCACAGGACAATTGTTCGCTACTGGTAGTGGTGATTTGCGAGCCAGAATCTGGAGGTACTCTTTCCTGTAATCGTCTCTTCCAGGAGATTTTTTTTTCATTTTGTTACTGACAATCATTTAATAGCTACACCTCGAGTCGAAGATAATCTGGTCCACGACCCTCAGAAAGAATGGCTTCAATGAAGACCAATGGCGTCAGGAGATATCTTTTCTCTCTCACCAAGAATAGACGTGTACTCTATGTCTTCTTTAGTGATCGTGCCGTCCATATTTACCTTCCCCCTCTCGCGATTTCTCGTCCCCTACACTACCGGAGTTAAGAGTCCTTCCAGACTGGTTGACCACCAATGTCCCACGAATCCCTTCGCAATTCTCATTTATATTGCTTCCGTCTATTATTATCCTTATGTTCCCCGAGCCGAGATGACTCCCTCCTTGTCTATTGATGTGT